CCTGATACAATTGTATCATATTGTCGCCACTGTGTTATGTGTTTATTTTCATGGACATTCTATTTGCAACATCTGTTCTAAGTTTATTCCTGCAACAAAATATGCACATTAAAGGGTTACTCCAAACATCATAACCACTAAATACTGCTGTAGTGGTTATGATGCCAGGAGTACACTGGTCCAATTAATTGGGTTACTATGTAGGAATGGTTTTACCTCTTAAAAGGGTCTCCACTGGATTCTGATGTTCTTTGTGGTTCTGGCGACTTGCTTTAAGCTTCTACAGAGCTGCAGAAGCTGGAATATGATTCAGTCACCATTCATTGGCTGATAGTATCAGCTGACAGCTCTCAGCAAATGAATGGCACACTGTGCAGGTAAATTTGCACAGAATTGACATTAGTCAGCCTGAAACTCTTGTACCGGGCTGGCTGATGTCAGCCCATGACACTTCCTGAAGTGGAGTTATACATCCGGCAGCCAAGGGGTTAAACTCATAGTGAAGCATAGCACATACAGAGCCCTGGTACCATCACCACTTCAAAACACTTAAATGGTCATTTTTTTAAAGTAACCTTTTAGCTTTGCTTGCACTTTCCCTGTTAAAACTAAACCATGAACCATATCAGTATTAAAAAGAAATGCTGTCTGAATTTGCCAAGTGTCTACTTTAACCTCTGTTTACTTGCACAATCTTCTGGCTGGGAAAATTGTCAGGAAATATAGGGCAAGCTTTGTCAACGTTGTCTCTACTTCATCTTTTGATTGTGTTGAAATTCTAATAAAATCCAGCACAGTCAATGAAAGTATTTAATAAAGAATATGTATTTCTTAAATGCTCGCAAGAAGCATGGTGATTAAAGATCTGCTTTAAATGTTATGACTACAAGAAAGCGAACTGCATCCTCATATGGTGGAGGTGACAGAAGAGATGACTAGAGCCCCATCATCATTGTAAGATCGTCTTGCATATTATGATTTAGCTTCGGTCTGCATTACATTACTGGTGACTAGAGTTGAGCAAACCCGAACTGAAAAGTTCAGGTTCGAACCGAATATTACGTTTTTTTGGACCCGAACCTGAACATGGACAGGCTCAGGGGTGGGGGCCGGGGGGAAGACAGTAGATCCCCCCTTATTGTTATTTAGGGCCCCCATCTGCCGCTCAGGGGTGAGGGTCAGGGGGGAGGACAGTAGATCCCCCCTCCACATTCTTATTTAGGGCCCCCACCTGTCGCACATGGGTGGGGGCAATAGGTTTTTTTGTTTTGTTTTTTACAGTGAGCAGCCACTGGCTGCTCACTCTTTACTAGACACGCCCCTACTTGCGGTATAGCGAGTAGGGGCTGAATTTACTAATACTAAGTAATCTTTACTTAGTATTAGTAAATGTGGCTGGAAGACCAATTTAGGTCTTTCAGCCTTTTGGTAGATAGCTCCCTAATACCATGGGAATTAGGGAGTGATCTACTAAGCGGCTGCTTATTTTATGTATTTTATGTTATTAATCTTTATGTGGCTTAAACCCACCAATCACAGTGCTCTGAGCCTAATTGCAGGGTGGGGCAAGGCTTTATAAGCCTTCCCCCACCTTGCAGAGCTCAGTCTGTGCGGAGCCCTCAATGGGTGAAAATTGATTATTATTTTTTTTTTTTTAAAGTGCATCGGTTATTAGGTTATTATGGATTTTTATTTGGCCTTTTTGGGGGCTGAAAAAAGAAGACATCAAATGGTAAGTCTATTTTTTTTTTAACAGGTATTTAGATAAGGGTCCCATCATTATTTTTAGGATTAAGGGGGTAGGTAGGGGTAATTCTTTTTGGGGGGAGGGGGATGACTAGGGGTTTGGGGACAATAGGTTTTTTTGCTTTTTTTTTACAGTGAGCAGCCACTGGCTGCTCACTGTTTACTAGACACACCCCTACTCGTGGTATAGCGAGTAGGGGCTGAATTTACTAATACTAGGTAATCTTTACTTAGTATTAGTAAATGTGGCTGAAAGACCTAAATTGGTAACGTGGGAATTAGGGAGTTATCTACTAATCTGCTGCTTATTTTATGTATTTTATGTTATTTTAAGTGATTTCCCTATCCACATTTGTTTGCAGGGCACTTGTCCTACTCTTACGCCCATTTTACTTCCTTTTGCAGCCCTCTAGCCCTTTCCAGGAGTTTTTTAGAGCCATTTTTGTGACTAAAAGTTCGGGTCCCCATTGACTTCAAGTTCGGGGTCAAGTTCGAGCCTGAACCCGGACTTTTTTCAAAGTTCGGCCGAACCCACCGGACGCGAACATCCAGGTGTCTGCACAACTCTACTGGTGACACATTACTATATGCTGTCAGCCCATGATGCTTGACTGCACATTTGGGGGCAATCCTTCTTAGACATCCGGTGAGTGTTTTAACCCTCACAAATAAGTTTTAATTTACAATAAATTTTTACAACAGCAGGTTGGATTCTCTTACCAAAGTATAAATTCACTGTAGGAACTGATGATCACTAAGCAGAGTAAGCCCATTGTTTTAATTTTTTTGTTTTTTAACCTTGATTAAATATTATATTGCACTTGCAATTCACATTGTAATGTTGTGAGTGTTTTGTATAACAAAGTGTGTCTTTACATTTTGTATAAGCCCAAGCAAGCTGATAAAATAGGATTATATTATTTGCAGTACATAACTTGTCTTCTATGCCACATAACAAAGTTTCTACATCTTGTCATCCCTCCAGGGCTTGAAATTCTGAGCGACAGTACAAGATCTAAAATGTGTAATAACGCTTCAGACTGAGTCGACCTCAGCATGCTAACAAGATCAGATATTTAACATTATTTCACAGCAGGAATTGGTTACTATTTAGAAAAGTGTTTGAATTTCATCTATATTTTATTACTTAGTTTGAAAACATAAGATTTAAAAGTAATATCATGAAATTACTAAACCGTGTTTAAACCAACCTTTGGACAGAACAAATGATGTTAAATGTAGACATATATTTATGGTTTGACCAGCCTTGCTTGGTCTATGCAATGCATTTTTTTGAAATTCAATAAGAGCTTCAGTTCAATTGGTTTAACCCCTTGGTAATCAGACCTCTTTTCAATGTTCTTGCCGTTAAAGGACCACTATAGTGCCTGGAAAACATACTCGTTTTCCTGGCACTATAGTGCCCTGAGGGTGCCCCCACCCGGCTCTGGAAAGGGGAAAGGGGTAAAAACTTACCTTTTTTCCAGCGCTGGGCGGAGAGCTCTCCTCCTCCGATTCTCCTTCTCTCCTCCCATGCGCTGGAAAAAAGGTAAGTTTTTACCCCTTTAGCTGAAGTAGTCTGGGTGCCTAGAGTGGTCCTTTAAGGACCAGGGCTGTTTTTACATTTCTGCACTGTTTGCGTTTAGTTGTAATGTTCCTCTTACTCATTTACTGTACCCACACACATTATATACTGTTTTTCTCGCCATTAAATGGCCTTTCTAAAGATACCATTATTTTCATCATATCTTTTAAATTACTATAAAAAAATTATAAAATATGATGACAAAATGTAAAAAAACACACTTTTTCGATCTTTGACCCCCAAAATCTGTTACGCATCTACAACCGCCAAAAAAACACACATGCTAAATAATTTCTAAATTTTGTCCTGAGTTTAGAAATACTCAATGTTAGCATGTTCATAGCTTTTTTTTGGAAAGTTATAGGGCTATAAGTACAAGTAGCACTTTTTCAAAATCATTTTTTTCAAAATTAACGCAAGTTACATTTTAACACCGATATCTGTTAGGAATCTCTGAATAAACCTTCACATGTATATATTTTTTAAATGAAGACAACCTAAGGTATTAAACTTGTGGTATTTTGACTCTTGAAACCATTTTACCACCAATCTATGCCAAATGTAAAAAAAATAATAGTCATAGGTGATTTTTTTTGACACACATAGCAATTTAAGAATACATGTACTGAGAACTTTAAGGATTCCTGCCAAAGAACACCCCAGTATGTGTTCAGCAACATCTCCTGAGTACAGTAATACCACCCATGTATAGGTGTGTCGGGTTCACTGAGAGCTAAAAGACCTTATTTGGAGGGTACGCATTCCAGTTTTCCAACTTGGAATTTTCACAACTGGTCATCATGCACCCATGTCCTATTTGGGAAATTTTTGAAGCCAGCCAATGTAATTTACCCCCATCGAACCATATATTTTTAAAAAGTAGACAAGCCAGGGTATTCAATGTGTGGTATATTCAGTCTTTTTTAGTAGCCACTTAGTCACAAACACTGCCCAAATTTAGCATTTATATTTGTTTGTGTGTTAAAAATGCAAAAAAACAATTATGAACGCTAACTTTGGCCAGTGTTTGTGAACATAACCCATTTGCAATACCTTGGGTTGTCTTCTTTTGCAAATGGCATGCCATCATGGGGGTAATTCTCATTCCTGGGCTACCATACGCTCTCAAAGCAACATAGCCACTCTGGCAAATTTCAATGTGAAAAAAGACCTTATATTTGACCCTGTAACTTTCAAAAACACTATAAAACCTGTGCATGGGGGTACTGTTATACTCAGGAGACTTTGCTGAACACAAATACTAGTGTTTCAAAACAGTAAAAGGTATTACAACAATGATATCATCAGCGAAACTGCTGTTTGTGTGTGAAAAATGCAAAAAACGTCCCTTTTACTGACAATATCATCGCTGTGATATGTTTTACTGTTTTCAAACACTAATATTTGTATTCAGCAAAGTCTACCTAGTAAAACAGTACTCTCCATGTACAGGTTTTAGGGTGTCTTGAAAGGTTACAGGGTTAAATATAGTGCTAGCAAATTCAATTCGCTGGACTTTCGGCCTGGGTTGTCAGGCAGGTCCCCCAAATTGCAATCAATAAAATATATATATATATATATATATATAAAAATATAAATGAATGGTTGCACTCACGGTTTTTCCAAATAAAAGTCCAAAGTTTATTGTCAATTCATAAAAGCTGCGATCAACGTTTCAGTCCCACCAAGAGGACTTTCATCAGGATCATAAAAAAAAAATATTTTTATGATCCTGATGAAAGTCCTCTTGGTGGGACTGAAACGTTGATCGCAGCTTTTATGAATTGACAATAAACTTTGGACTTTTATTTGGAAAAACCGTGAGTGCAACCATTCATTTATATTTTTATATTTTTTGGCTATATATGGTTGGCACCCGGTCGTGAAGGGAAAATTCAGCGTGAGTGCAGGAATCAATTTTCATTTTTTATATATATATATATATATATATATATATATATATTTTTTTTAGTTCATTAACTTTATTTGTTTTTTATTTTAAACTTGTTAAAACTTTTTTAACCAGCAGGGGGACTGCCTGACACCTATTACGGCCATGTGACCACTCTTTCACGGTGACGATCGGGTAAGTACATATGGAGGAAGATGGAGGGAGAGGGAGGGATGGAGAGGGTGGTTGAGGGAGGGATGGAGAGGGTGGTTGAGGGAGGGAGAGGGTAGGGGTAATTTTTTTTAATTTATTTATTTTTTTATATTTATTTTTTTCTTCACTGATGGCTTCCAATGCTCTGACTCACTGCCGGGTGCCATGTGCTCTTACGATGTTCTGACTTCATTCCGGGCACCGGTGGCCTGGCAGTGAGGGAGGGTATTGCAGGATGCCTCAACATCGAGGCATCTCTGCAATACCATTAGAGCGTCTGGAAGCGATCTTGCTCGCTTCTAGCACTCTAATGTGTACCTGATACATCCTTAAGAACCATTTTTTGTCCAACGTACCTGATACGTCAAGGTCGGGATGAGGTTAAAGTAAGACAAATATGTCACTTACTTGTTGATACAAGAGTGGAGAGTTTGTACGTAAATCAAGTAGTAGGTACTAAAAAATGGGATCATATTCTTTTAACTAGTAATACTCTATTGGGAGGGTGAATTTCTCATTTGCCAGCATCAGAAGGATGTGATTAAATATAAAGAACTTCCACCGGGATTGCTTTATAGAGAAGCTAAAGCTTTTGAATGATACAGTGATGCGTGTCCCTTTAACATGATAGTTAATGCAGGAAATAAGACTTAAAGATTTGTTTTTGGCAAAACTGCGAGATTGGGCTGATCAGATGATTGGCAATATTCCTGAACTGAAAGCCAAAATGTATCAGAACTAAGGTCCAATAGATTAATGCAATACTGAACATGTTTGGTTCATGATTGTGAGTTCCATCCATGGTGTGTAATATTCTACATGGTGCCCTAAAAATAGATTGCTGGGAAAAGATGGTTGATGGTGAAAAAATGCTTCTATTACTTATGTACTGCAAAATATGTACATAACATATATATATATATATATATATATATATATATATAGTGTTCAAGTAGAGATTGTAGCCGTATTAGTCCAGTGATGTAGATGTAAAAAACAGATAAAATTCTTATCTTGTAATACCTTTTTTATTGGACTAACAGAATTTTTTAATGACAAGCTTTCGGGAGAACCTCCCTTTCTCAAGTCTGAAGCAATCAAATAAGGTGGGCTGCCCTTTAGGAGAGGGCAAGAGACGGGTAAGTGAGGTAGGGGTTAGTCTTGGAGGCCATAAGCTTTCCTAAAGAGATGGGTTTTAAGGCACTTCTTAAAAGATGCAAGACTAGGGGAGAGTCAGATGGCGGTAGGCAGGCTATTCCATAGGAAAGGAGCCGCCCGCGAGAAGTCCTGCAAGCGCGAGTTGGCCGTACGGGTGTGGACAACGGACAGGAGGTGGTCACGGGCAGAGCGGAGAGACCGAGAATTGCCTCTTTTGGTTTCCACTACCACCTGTACGCTGATGACACCCAGCTATATCTCTCCACCCCGGACCTCTCCCCTGCTGTCCTGCAACGTGTCACTGCTTGCCTTTCTTCCATCTCTGACTGGATGTCCTCCCGCTTTCTGAAACTCAATCTCTCAAAAACTGAGCTCCTTGTCTTTCCTCCTCCTAATACTGATCCTCCTCTCTCGCTCTCCCTTCAAGTTTGTGGTACCAACATCAGCCCATCCTTCCAAGCGCGCTGTCTTGGCGTCATACTTGACTCTGGTCTCACCTTTGAGCCTCACATCCAGCATGTTGCCAAATCCTGTAGATTCCATCTTAAAAACATAGCCCGCATCCGCCCCTTTCTTGCACCAGATACTACCACCTCAATGGTGTTTCTTTTCTAATTTAACATAGTCTCTTACGTTTTTTTTGTTTATGTCATGATTTAGTTATTCAGAGAACAGATTTTACACAAGCCAGTTGTTCAGTTGAGGACATCAGGTTTCAATAGCACCTTCTCTGAAATAAATCCTTGAGCATAAGAAATCATTTATTTCAGACCGAGAAATGCTTCAGACTTGAGAAAGGGAGGTTCTCCCGAAAGCTTGTCATTAAAAAATTCTGTTAGTCCAATAAAAAAGGTATTACAAGATAAGAATTTTATCTGTTTTTTACATATATATATATATATATATATATATATTGCACAGCACTGTTCTATTTTTGCTCCATTTTGTTCTTATGATTCGGTTTCAGAATCTATTGTTGAGCTGAATCATCATTGGGATAAAATCCCGTTGTCCCAATAAATGTTTTCAGAAATAAATGGCTGAGCTGATTCTCACCACCACATGTCTACAGGTAAATGACTGAATTGACTGAATTACTGGATGAAACAAAAACAATTGTAAGCCTGCAGAATAAATTACTAAATGAAGGAGCATCATGTGGCAATTAAACACACTAACTTTGTGGACATATATTGAGGGAATAGACAAATATTGCATGGAGGCAGTTTAGTAAATACGTGATCCAAAGAATCCCGATATTTTTGTTCCTTGACCGAAGTGATGTTTGCTAAATTAAGAAAACCTCAATGGTGTTTCTTTTCTAATTTAACATAGTCTCTTACGTTTTTTTTTGTTTATGTCATGATTTAGTTATTCAGAGAACAGATTTTACACAAGCCAGTTGTTCAGTTGAGGACATCAGGTTTCAATAGCACCTTATCTGAAATAAATCCTTGAGCATAAGAAATCATTTATTTCAGGTTTACAAGCTTACAAGAGGAATAGCCAACTTCCTAGAACTTTTCTACCCCAGTGTAATGTGAATAGTGAGCAGTTAACTTTTTTGTTTTTTTATTCTATGTATTGAGGCTGATGTGTACTATAATTATTGCTGCTGCCCAGAAGTAGTAGTTTGTATGTCTGTTAAAACTTAAAGTTAATCAAAGTGACGAGTGCAACCCTGTGTTGGAACAGACTGCTAACTCTCAACTTGCTTTTAGTAAATAGGTGCGATATTTCACAATGATTGGTTATATCATCCAACATTGTATATTTCATTTGCAACTTCTGTGCAATTTAGCAAAAACTGACACGTAAATAACCACACATTCAAGACTATTACTAAAACCTTGGAGAGCGCAGTCTATAGCAAATTTAAGGCCAAAATGAGTGAATTTAAAACAAATCATTAATGCTGCATGGTAATGTTGATAGTTATTATGAATCAAATGATCAACATTGTCAACTGGAGAAACATGGTGACCTTTCTCCCAAGGACAAAAGGTATATGATCACATTCTTCTCTCGTCTCCCATGAGGTTTGATATACATGAAATGTCTCTGCTTAGCTAAATTCTCCTACACCCTGCTGCTAAAAAGAGTGGTATTTTTTATTTTCAAATAAAGTATGCAAAAGCAATCCAAAAGCAACAATTCAGTTGGATCAACAGCTGGAAATTGAAAAGAACAATACTTCACGCTGCTTTCTATAATTTTCCAAAGCTGTAAACTACAAACACAATCTTTAAAACACATGCACTGGCATTTATAGCCCCCTGAATGAAGCAACGCTGTAATATGCTATCCTCATTTACAAAACAAATGTGGATAAAACATGTTTTTGCAAATGGTGTGAATGAATTAAAACCCTAAGCCAAACGTATATTCTCAATAAATACTGAAACACTTGACAGTTGTGAATGAAATAATTGATCTCTAATGAAGAGTGAACCGCAGAAAATGACGGGAAAAACAATCAATTCTTTGTGGAGTTTACAATTTTCTGATGAGTAAACATTGTGCCATGCAATAGCAAGAATCCTGGAAAAAAAAAAAAATATATATATATATATACCACTCAAAGAATCTGTGAATTTTTATATTATTTGCGTGGATGTGTAGCGTACTTTTTCTGAAAGAAGTTTTCAAGTATTTTAATCAATAAAGGACTGATTCAACTGCTATTTATTGATTTTCTTGTCACAAAATAAAAACTCAGGCAAAACAACATAACGTTCAACTTTGAGGACTCGAGATTCTAATATATTTGTCATTTTACAACAGTTCCCATCAACACCATCAAAGCAATATAAATTAATTAAAACCATATTAGAGAACATGGGAAAATCACACTGGAATTGGCCAAGAAATGCTACGTATAGATACATAAAACAAAATAAACATTGTCATAATGTCTTGTTATGTATACTTATTAATGTAAATGTATAAATACAGGTAGCAAAAGTATTTAACCCACAATATAGGTTAATTAGTTCATGCATCAACTAACAAGAAATCCCTTAGTTCAACAAATCAGAATAGCGAACATCTCAGGGATCTGTTTTGACCAATAGCTCTGTTGTTCAATACATTATGATCTTTAAAGGACAACTCTGGCTACTATAAGGACTTCAGCTCAATTAAAGGGACACTATAGTCACCAAAACAATTTTAGCTTAATGAAGCAGTTTTGGTATATAGAACATGCCCCTCCAGCCTCCCTGCTCAATTCTCTAACATTTAGGAGTTAAATCACTTTGTTTATGACTTAAATCACTCCCTGCATATGACTTGCACAGCCTTCCTAAACACTTCCTGTAAAGAGTCATCTGAAGTTTATCCTTTCTTTATTGCAAGTTCAGTTTAATTCAGATTTTCTTATCCTCTGCTATGTTAATAGCTTGCTAGACCCTGCAAGAGCGTCCTGTATGTGATTAAAGTTTAAGTTACAGAGCAAGAGATTAAATTGTGTAAGGTAAATTACATCTGATTGAAAGGGAAACCA